CACACGAAAACAATCAGCTATATTTTTTGGCCTCCATGATAGAGTATTCAAATTCCAAATATTCACTAGCTATATGATTTCATGTTTACCTTGACAACAAATGACTTGTCTCCATTATTACACATGGAATGATGGCCTCAGAGAGGCTAAGCAACTGGTCCAGAGTCACAAGTTGGTACAAGTCAAGATTGCAACTGATTGGTCTGAGTCCCAGATTAATATTCTTTATGCTAAATTCCAACTGCCTCTCAAAGAAAGGAGCCTAATTGTAGACTGCTATATGCCTCCTGAACATAGAGAGTGAAAGAGTTTCAAGGCTGAAAAATAACCAAAGATGGCCAACTGACAATGAGAGGTTAAAATACATGTTCCAACAGTGTGAAGGAAGGTAGATAAATCATGCATCACAATATAACAATAGTTAAGAGCTTGGATTCTGTGATCACAAAAGCCTGAATTCAAATTGTGAATTAGCTGTTTACTAGCTGTCTGGCTTTAGGGCAAATTACTTAAGCTCTCTAAGCCTCAGTTTTCTATCCATAAAATGAAGATTAAAAAATACTGACCTACTTGCCAACCTCATCCAGTTGTTGGAAGGTCAAATAAGAATATATATTGATAACTTGAAGACTCACAAGTATAATTTGTGGGAAATACAACTCCATTTAGTCTATTGACTTGAGGGGACAAAACTGCCATAAATCAAGACAACTACTAGAAAGTGTACTCAAATCTGCTCATAATGCAATTGTCAAGCCTAATCATTTTATGGCTTATGGTCATTTATGGAATCTTCTCAAATAAATTCCAATTTGTTAGTCATCTTTTCCTTCAAAAATTCAGGGATGCCTCAGAACAAGAGGGAAAAGATACAGGGCCTTTCTGGCTAAGCCATAACTACTAAAAATAATTAAATCACCCATCTACAACTTTGATAATTCAGTTCTCTTACAACCATGCATTTCAATGTTACAAAGACCCTAAGATTTAAAAAAAAAACTTCTGAGAAACAAAAATGTGAATTTCAACACACAGCAACACATAGTTGAATACATGGGAACATACAGATTTCAAATTGGTGTAACACAATTTGGATATCTGTTGGCTGTAAAGGATGACTTAATTTTATTATTATAAAGACTTACTCAGATAAGTTAAACTTATACAAGGCAATCTTTGTCTTGCTGCAATAACTTGTCATTTTAAGACTTACCACTTAAAGAACATAATTATGAGTTATTTTGGGGAGAGCAAATATTCATCTACTTTAGTGAAAATCAAAAGAAATAGTCTCTAAACATTTCTGATCATGCATCCTATCAACAAAATTTTTAGTGTATGTCAAATATACGTATATTTGTTTAGAAAAGGTGCCATATGTTTTTGCAGGCACACATGAAAATACATACAAAAATATTCTAAAAGAATGACAAAATAACTTTGGAGATGACCATCTAGAGAATCACTAAAAGTAAATGTACCCATGGGTGAAGTAACTCCTATCAATGTTACAGTTTGAAATTATACGTAGTGTTTGATGTAATATTCTCCAAATACAGGAATCCAATTAACTGTAATGGTACTAATGTGACGTTATATGTCTGGCCTACACTTGGTCATTTTTCTACCACCAGGAATGGGGTCACAAATGGCCTTCACAACTTAAAGGTACAAGAAAAGAGGCTATAATCATCAAGTGGTTTACAATAGATACCTTAAAAAATATTCTCCCTTTAGAAAATACTGAGAGACATTTGTGCTTCCCATCCACACCTCCCCCAAGGGCCCAGTTCCCATGAAGTTCCACCTGTACTACCACGTTCACCTGCATGTTTACGGAAACAAATTGAGTGCAGAGTCTCCCCGACAATTCATGAACTGCAGAATCCCTAGAGTAGTGATTCCTAAACTCTGCCAAGAGACTGTGCTGTGCAAACCTCTCTTCATATACACCTATGACCATAGCGAATGAATTTTACCACCAAACCTTGCAATTCCTTCTCAGTTTAGCTTCCCAGTTTTCATTTTCCCCAACCTTTCCCTTTTTATCCAACTCTAGATTCAAATCATTTCACCTCTGAGCATCAGTACTCTCTTCTAAGCATACGTGATTGCCAAAAGAACACTGCATCTTCAATACTAAAATGATAAATATCATGAAAAGGCTCATCAATAACAGTCAGAAGTTGAAGTCCATTTTTTTTATTCCTATCTTGGACATACTGAGCAGTACGAAAAGTGATAAGCCAAGTTAAACCTGCAGTCAAAAAGAAACTGGTATCAATCATACTCCACAAAGTGTTGAGGAAATGGTATCAATCCTCAGGATTAATACAATCTAAGGCTTACTTGTTTAGGAGCATTTCAAAAATACAACACTAAACATCAGAAGAAAATGGTCTATAGGGATAAAGATCTATAGGCATAACCAGAAATCAGATCAAATAATGTACAGGTTTCTCTATTTACAGTCCTATATATTAAATGACTTAAGGACTCAGTTAAGCAGCTCAGTCAGCTAGTAATACAAACTATCTTATTGTAAAAGATTTTGTGATACTGTTATATTATGTTCCAAATATGAAAATAAACCAGTTATATTTTGATAGCAGCCATATATAAAAGTTCAGTGGCAGAGACTGAGAGATGAGTCTAAAATATTTGCAGTCTGTATACCTTCAGATAAGAAATCTATTCAGTTTTAGACAATCCAAGATGTTTTTAAGACTTCTATGCATAGATAAAACTACTGACAAATGTTCTCCATATAGCCTATCAAGAGCATTTTATCGCATCATCTGAAATAGGGGTGAAAAGGGGAGATTAAATATCTTTAAACTTCAATATGCAAACTACAACTTTAGTTATCATACCTCTCTTCTGTAAAGAGGAAGAAGAGAGAGTATCAGAAATGTTAAAAGTCACGCAGGGAAAAGTCCAATAGTAGATTTATTTGTTCCCAAGATTAAAGGGAGCCTGGAAACCTGTAGTCATTTAACACTAGCCATTGGGAATACTGCTTCCTTCCTTTTAACTTGAAGGCCAGTTTCATAATCTGCAACACCTATACAAAACAAAATTAATTACTTGCAATGTGTGAGTTATAATGACTTAAGGAAACTATTTGTGCAATGTACCAGAAAGCCACTTTCTGGTGGCCTTTCCAGTCTATTATTATAGAAATATTGCGAATAAGGGTAAGAACATGTGATTCCCATTCCAGATGACAAAGATAACAGCCACATTATCCTGCGTGAACCAGGATAACTCTTGCTATACAATCCACTTGAAGCCTTGTTTCAACATTACAGAGGGAGGCACTACTTAAATTTGGAAAAAAGGAAATTTCAAAACTACCTGTTAAAACTTAGAAAGTAACATTCCTCAAACTTACTGCCAATCACAACTATGAATTCCTGGTGCCAACGGCAACAATAATTTTGAAAATAGTCATCCTATCTTAAAAGAATTTGTAATAAAATATTTCAAAACATTCCCCAGGAACAGTGAACAAGAAATACACAAACAGCTACTGTACTCAGATATAGGTTCAGCTCAATTGTCTGGGGAAGGTTAAGGTTAAAGTCACAGGAAACAGCTGGTCTCAGAGTGATGTGTGCAAGCCTTTCAAAGAGAAACTTATGAACAGCTCCTCACAAGCCAGACATCACCTGAATTCTAAAACATTTTCATTAACTGTTTCCATCATTTTTAAAGATCGAAAAAGTCTGATGTCAAGATCTTCAAAAACAACTTTCCATTTGAAAAAAGGCTTTACGATTAAAAAAAAAATGGTTGCGGTACTTAAGTTTCAATGGAGTTACCAGGTGAAACGTAGTTGGTAAACAATAGTAGTCAGCACGGGGGTAAGATCCATTTAAAAACTACCCTACCGGGTGTTTTTATTGTAATTCAAGTTTGAAATACCGAGGAGCTTTTTCACAGAATAGATTTAAAATTAAAGCCATAACAATTGGCAAGGGTAGTCATGTGTTGTGGGTCTATGAATTCAAACTCTCGAGAATGGCGTGCCAATAATACCCACATTGTACTCTAAATACCTGCATATTCAGCGGTCTATTCCTGTGTTGCCTACAAAATCAGAATAATTTAATCCTGCATGTAGAAATAACTTCTTGAAGTTATTTGAGATACTGATTTCAAGTAATTACAGCTTTTAATGTAGACTGCGAATTTCCAGTGTCAACATGTTTATACATACATAGCAAAAAAAGGCCACTACATGTTAACTGTGTAGAGCAAAATTCAATTTTTCCACTTTCAGTTTTCACTGAAAAACGCTGTTATCCTCTACAACGAAACAGCAAGTCCTTCTATTATATGGGGTAGTGGACTAACCTACACTACAGCATTATCAAGGTTCACTTAGGTTCTTAGTATTTATCTGAAATAAAAGTCTGAAAATGGGGAATCGAGAAAGTCAGCATTTCAACTCTTGAGAATAAAAGTTCATAAACATACCTTTTGTTGAATTCCAGCTTATGTGATTTTTATGTAAATCTTGCAGGTGATGAAAAGCAAAAAGCAACCAATCTCTGTAGTGTTTAGCCTGTTCTTTTAAGACTATGGGTCACCTGCCCCGGGAAATTTCTAATTGAACAAGGAATCCATGGGGCAAAGTAATCGTTTTTTCAAAGGTGGGTCAGAATGGAACATTTCTATCTTCACTTCAACAGGGAAGCAATGAAATGTAATCCTTTTGAGTTATCACATTTTTGGTAGATGCTACCGTGGTCTCTTATCCTTATTTCATGAGATCCTTAGCCTGTGAATGTGTCCATGTTTTGACTTTAGAAATTTTTAAAGCATGTTATTCCTGTGTTGCCTCTAACACCTAAATATGTATACACAAAGCATCTTCATTCCTCAAATGTTTTTTCAGCATGACCAGTGTGCAACTGATATTCACAGTTTATAGAACCTGTCTTCTAAGAAAAAATACTTTTAGCTAAACCTCTATAATCATGACAAGAGATTGATTAAAATGCCAAGATAAGAAACAATTTATTATAGAGAGAAGAAAAATTTCTCATCCAAAATATAGAAATCTGTACAACTTTGCCACAATCAATATACATGAACTGTACAAATTTACACCAGTTCATAATTTACCAAATAAAAGATGACTAACAAAGTTCACAAAATAGATGGTGGTTTGTGGAAAAGACTTTTACCCAATTAAGTACAAGGAAAGTTACAAACCAGACCTCCACTTTCTAAAAATAAGAAGTTTACTCAGTCTTAGAAAACTACAAGCTAGCAAATGTACAGAGAGCTGGCTGGTGCTACCACCACAGTTGAGACAGTGTCTTTTTTAAGGGTCTTTTTTAAAGCCTGTTGCCATGGCAGATTCTGGTCACTTGCTACTTTCAAGGCCAAAAACACAATACAAGGTCTGACCATTTCCCCAGGTCATGCTTACTAGTTTGTCTTTATGTACATTTATACATATTTTAAGTGCTAGGTAAAAGTCTTGTAAAATTTCCAGTACTACCATGTTTAAAACGTTCAGCTTTCCTATTGAGCTGCCAAAAAGGTTAACAGTAACAATTTTCAAGTGTAATAGTGCAAATTCCTCTGCGAGATTTACTGCAGAGAAAGGTTCTTTGAAATACAGATTTTCTTTAAAGGGACTGATGTAAAAATTCAGGTATGTCTGGGAGAAACTGAAACCACCCTAGGACTTCCCTCCCTAGCAAATAAAGTGATCATTTACTTGGACTCACAGGCTATTAAAATTAATCATTGAAAGGTACTGTCCAAACTATGGCACTGTCACTTAAAAAATTTTTTTTTTACCATTCTATCTTGTGCCAGATCTTCACAGCTGTGACATGGTTTAAATTCCATAATCCATCCCCAAGAGGAGCCCACCCAAAGCAAAAATCAAATTTATCCATCATTATAAGATGATCCATCCACAGACTATATCTTAACCTGATACAGTCATCATATTGTAGTTTTTGGAAGGGCTCGTTCTGCCCAAGAGAAGTTCCTCCTTACAGCTGATTCGGCTGTCTACCATTTGCACGTTGGTGCTGTTTTGAGTGCTACCTCCTGCTGGTGAGGCTTCATACAGCACACAGATGGAGCCATCCTCTCCAATTCTGTAGGACACTTCGTAGGGGTCAACCCAGAGTGTGAGTTCACTTGGGAGAAGCCTGAACAGCTCCTGACTGCTCAGTCCAATCCGCTGTGCTGCCTGTCCAATCAGAGGATCCATTTTATGGTTGATGCGAATGCAACGGTAACCCGATCCCTTGCATGGCTTTTCTGGGAACCAGTGATGTTTATAATGTTCTATAGAAAAAAAGAAGAACAGAGAAACAACGCTTAGGATCGTTAGCTCCCAGTGTGATTTCCTCCTACCCCAGGCTCCCTTGAGGAGCGAAAATGAAAACTATCAACTTTTTAAAATGTCCAGGATTGCATCCGTGGTTGTGTATGTGCGGGGATGGAGAAAAAGCGGGCAGGGTTTTAGAAATAACGCAGTAGTACGGGACAAAACAAGCTCCAGGAACCAACTGGTTGAGCCGCCAAAACAGGAATCAGGCGCGCAGCCTCGGCCAGCCGGGAAACCAGTGGCACCTATGGCCAGGCGAGAAACTGTTTACTTTCTCCACCCCACCCCAGATGCACACAATGGAGTTGGTGGCTTTGGAGATGAGAAGCGCCACCGGACTGTTAAGCCCGAAGGGAAGAAAAACAAGCAACCCTAAACCACGCTCTGGGAAGGGCTGTAATTGTGCCGGTGACAAATCCGATGATTAATGGGCAGGAGCAGGAGGCGCGGGGAGACTGCACGTCCGTTCTGAGCTGGCTCCGGAGCAGTGGCGCTGCTTCCCACCCCGGGGCTGGGCCGCCGACCACGCAACGGTTGGAGAGGACTGAGGGAAGGGGGCGTCGAACCCACCCCAGCCCCGCGGCTCCTTTGTCCCCAAATCCGCCGACGGTCCTCGGACCGCAGCTCCCGCCTCGGTGGGCTTAAGTTTCTTTGTTGTGCGTGTTTTCTTCTCCACTCCGTTTTGCCAGCTGGGGGGAGGGGGCGCCCTCCGTCCAGCCCCCAAAGCCTCGCGGGGAGCCACTGTTAGCGGCCACCCAGCGCGACCACACCGGTCCCG